CACCATTTTCTGGAACGTCTATTGAAGTCGTAAAGTGCACATTTCTGATCAGACAGATCTACTCCGCCCATTATGCTGCTGTAGAAGGAGACAGCTTCAGGGCATTCAACTTCTTTTCGCGATCCATCCTTCATTGTGCGCAACACATGCGTTGTAGTCAGCGTGACAATTGCTGACTACCAGGACCTCCTTGCAGTCTTTCCAACGGGCACACAGCGTACCAGCTCCATTTACCGCAAACTCAAAGCTGCCACGTTCGCCAAGCTTTTCTGAAAACTTGGGAACATAGTAGGAATTAGGAAGCCTCTATATGTGCACAGTTCAGCCATCAAATGAGCCCTCCTGCCTCAATATTCCCTGGAACTGTGGTAGTGTCTTTGACTACGAAGTGGGACACATGTGTACCACCAGTAGTCAAAGATTAACTTACGCAGGATGACTCGCTTTAGCTTCTGACGACTAATTGTCATAGTAGGAATTAGAAAGCTTCTATATGTGCACAATTCAGCCATCAAATGAGCCCTCCTGCCTCAATATTCCCTGGAACTGTGGTAGTGTCTTTGACTACGAAGTGGGACACATGTGTCCCACCAGTAGTCAAAGGGTTAAACCGCGCGACTGGACTCTACTTCCAGATCATGCGGCGCTTAGGAGAACGTGGCGACTCATAGCAGGAACGCGGATCCTATTGCGGAGCAGGTCTGACGCTAGCGAGAAGAAAAGAAGAAGATGAAGCACAGAAACAATCACTCACCTCAAAATGAGCCAATCCAGTATGGAGTGTGAATGCTGAAGGGTAGGAGAGAATCTCTGCTCCCTTGTAGCGATTCCATACAGCTAATTCGGAAAATCGAAGGTCATTGCAAATTGACAATCCGAGCTTCCCAATAGGAGTGTTCACAGGAGGAACCATCTTAAATTGATCTCATCAGCAAATGCCTGGGTTATCAGGGTGAAATTCATAGTTTCCGTAATAAGAAATTGGCTCGTGAACTGTAGGGAGAGCTCGCGATATTCTCTTACCTTTATTCCTCGTTTGCTGAAATCGCTTTCTATAAATCTGAATTTGCCTGGAATTTCGAGATCAAAGAGGTGTAGCTTGTTGTACATTGCTCTCGTCTCGCCTTCGCTGTCAATAACTATATGAGAATTCCAAGGTTTGGCTTCACCCGGCGGAATCGTGGAGCCTCAATGGAATCGGAAGATGGAAGCTCAATTCAACCACCATCACGGAGCTCGGCCAAGGATATCGAGCCGAATTGATCTTGTGTGGACCGTGATTACCGCGCTGGACACCCAAAATAGGAGCCAAGGAAGGGTAAGATTTCGTCATGGACATGTCTCTATGATGTTCAGGTTGATGGCCAACTCTGGAGACGCCAAGCGAATCAGCTGCGCCCATGCCAGTGCCCAACCGATAGCACAACGCTCACGGATCAATTCGATTTGCCACTGCTCCCATGTCTAGCCGCTGAGACGCCTGTAGTGGACCACAATGGTGAATCGACCGAGGAGCAACCGCCGGGACAATGTGACGACGAGCCACCCTCAACGACTCGACAAACGCGGTCAAGACGCCCTCCGGTTCGACTGCAAATCAATCCGAAGAAGAAGACATACACCTCTTGTGTCTATCTTAGGGGGGAGGTGTTGGATCGGTGAATTTGCATTTTGATCTGGCTATCAGGGACTCTGTGGGTGATCGTCAGATCTTAGGTCACTTACCGATCACCGATCCATACCGCCCGTATCGTGCCGTATAAAAGGCCGACTTTTACTATGCCATTTATTCTATTCCTCGTCTTAATAAAGCTGCTGTTTATTCGACTGCTGCACTTCTACAGTTACAACAGATACAAAGTTAGATTAGTCTCTTTCAGTGCGTAGAAGCGCCCCAGAGATATAGTAGTGAAAATTTGGTTGAAAGTCGGATGAAATGATAGTGAAAAAGCAAAATTTGTCAGAATCAGCTGCAATGAACGTCAAAAGCAATTTTGCACCGATTATTGCAATCCAAACACATATCTTGTCATACTTGAGGTTCCGTATTGACTTACACTACCCTTTAAATATTCACATTCATGAAAAGAAAATGTAAACAAAAAATCAACTGGGTTGACGATTTCGTTCGGTTCAGAAAACCTCCCCTAATTTGAAGCACACGTGACCACTCTAAGAGCGACTATGTTTCTATCTATGTTAAGGTTTTCTCTATGGAATGAATACAAGAAAGCCTAAAAATGAATCACGTGTGCGAGAAAAAATGAATGCATTGGGTGCAGGACACATACGTCCCGCGTTGTCCGTTGTGGTCCTGCAAAGTGCGGGACGTATGTGTCCTGCGCTGTCGTCAACGTGTTAAGAAACTAGCAGAACAGCACAAGGAAAATTGAACGACCTCCTAGTTTAGCGATGCACTGAGTCTGAAACTGCGACATGTTGCTCTCAGTTGGTTTT